TACACTTTAATCAATATAGGGCATTTCATTCCAATATAGGCATTTTATCTGGTTCTAGATTGCCATAATGTGGTACTGCCTTACACTATGACTGGTACTACGTTTTGTAAATGTTGAGCAGAATTGAAATAATCAATTTTTCTTCACAAAAGTTGGTACTAATCATCAAAATCAGGTACCACGCAGAATAAGATGCGGTACTATGTTTCCCACAACCGGTACTATTATCAAAATCGCGATTTCTCTAATCCTTCATGTCTACCATGACACGTGGATCGTTCACACGTGATTTGGATGGAAAAAAGTTGAATTGAAAACATATAGTTAGAATTTGGAATAGTCATGTATGATGATTTCTATGAGATGAAGTGTGTCATTCAATTAAATGAAGTCTAGTAGAAGTGTTTTCTCATTAGTGTATCGAGTTCATGACCAATTTGCGATTAAACTCATTCAAAAACATTTAAAATCTTATATAAACTAATGTCAGAGTGATCATGGGTCGTATAAACATCATTTGCGATCGCAATTCGATCTTCTTATGTGTTCATTACAAGTGGTACTAGGGACAGGATATCTGGTACTAACTCTCCATAATGTGGTACTGACTTACACTACGACTGGTACTACTTTTTGTAAATGTTGAGCAGAATTGAAATAATCAATTTTTCTTCAAAAAAGTAGGTGTTATTCGATCGAAATCAGGTACCACGCAGAATAAGATGCGGTACTATGTTTCCAAAAACTGGTACTATTATCAAAATCGCGATTTCTCTAATCCTTCATGTCTACCATGACACGTGAATCGTTCACACGTGATTTGGATGAAAAAAAGTGGAATTGAAAACATATAGGTAGAATTTGAAGTAGTCATGTATGATGATTTCTATGAGATAAAGTGTGTCATTCAATGAAATGAAGTCTATTAGTAGTATTTTCTCATTAGTGTATCGAGTTCATGACCAATTTGCGATTAAACTCAATAAAAAACATTGAAAATCTTATATAAACTAATGTCAGAGTGATCATGGGTCGTATAAACATCATTTGCGACCGAAAATTCGGTCTTCTTATGTGTTCATTACAAGTGGTACTAGGGACAGGATATCTGGTACTAACTCTCCATAATGTGGTATGACTTACACTATGACTGGTACTACTTTTTGTAAATGTTGAGCAGAATTGAAATAATCAATTTTTTCTTCAAAAAAGTAGGTACTATTAGATCAACATCAGGTACCACGCAGAATAAGATGCGGTATTATGTTGCCCAAAACCGGTACTATTATTAGAATCGCGATTTCTCTAATCCTTCATGTCTACCATGACATGTGGATCGTTCACACGTGATTTGGATGAAAAAAAGTGGAATTGAAAACATATAGGTAGAATTTGAAGTAGTCATGTATGATGATTTCTATGAGAAGAAGTGTGTCATTCAATGAAATGAAGTCTATTAGTAGTATTTTCTCATTAGTGTATCGAGTTCATGACCAATTTGTGATTAAACTCAATCAAAAACATTGAAAATCTTATATAAACTAATGTCAGAGTGATCATGGGTCGTATAAACATTATTTACGACTGAAATTCGGTGTTTTCATGTGTTCATTACGAGTGGTACTAAAGACCCAATATCAGGTACTACAACAATATGAAATTGGTACTATCTAACTCTAGGTCTGGTACTACTTTTTGTAAATGTTGACCAAAATTGAACTAATTCATTCTCCTTCACAAAAGTAGGTACTAATCGATCAAAAACAGGTACCACGTAGAAGAAGATGCGGTACTATTTTTGCTAAAACAGGTACTATTTTCAGAATCGTAATTTCTATAATCCTTCATGTCCACCATGACACGTGGATCGTTCACGCATGATATGGATTAAAAAAAGTGGAAGTTAAAACATATAGGTAGAATTTGGAGTAGTGATGTATGATGATTCTATGAGATGAAGTGTGTCATTCAATGAATTGAAGTGTAGTAATAGTGTTTTCTCATTAGTGCGTTGAGTTCATGACCAATTTGCGATGAAACTCAATTAAAAGCATTTTAAATCTCATATAAACTAATGTGAGTGTGATTATGGATCATATAAACATCATTTGCGACCGAAATTCAGTGTTTTTGTGTGTTCATTATGAGTGGTACTAAAGACCCAATATCAGGTACTAAAACACCATAAAGTGGTATTATCATTCTCTAGGTCTGGTACTACCTTTTGTAAATGTTGACCAAAATTGAAATAATCCATTTTGGTTGACTAAAAGTAGGTACTAATCGATCAAAAATAGGTACCACGTAGAAGAAGATGCGGTTCTATTTTTGCTGAAGCAGGTACTATTTTCAAAATTGTGATTTTTTTAATCCTTCATGTCTACCATGACACGTGGATCGTTCACGCGTGATTTAGATGAAAAATAGTAGAAGTTAAAACATATAGATAGAATTTGGAGTAGTCATGTATGATGATTCAATGAGATGAAGTGTGTCATTCAATGAAATGAAGTGTATTAGTAGTGTTTTCTCACTAGTGTGTCGAGTTCATGATCATTTTACGATTAAACTCAATTAAAAACATTTTAAATCTCATATAAACTAATGTGAGAGTAGTTATTGGTCATATAAACATCATTTAAGACCGAAATTCGGTGTTTTTATGTGTTCATTACATGTGGTACTCGAGCCTCAATATCAGGTACAACAACAATATAAAACTGGTACTATCTTACTGTTGGGTTCGATAGTACCGTACGGGCTGTACGCAGCGGAATTTAAAATTTTTAAAGTAAGTATTTATCGTATAAATACAACACCCGTACATACTAATTGCGAATTAACTGATCGTCATCTTTAAAACATGCATCATATACAAATTTTGATTTGTTACTATAAAGTAAATACTAGTAAAAATATTTACCGAATGTCTTGAACTCCTTCACTATTGATGATGGATGAGGGAATCGGTTCCCGGTTGTAACTTCAACGACTTGAGGTTACTCGCTAGAGGAATCCAAGTGTCTTCCCTCTAAACGTATCCACCCTATGAAGCCCGGTTCCGACGACTTTCCTTCGCTAGTAGAAAAGACTCGGTTTTCTTGTATAGGAATATTTATGAATTTTATTTGGGAATTTTAAGAACTCTTTCTTGAAGTTTTATGAAGAACACTTTCTTCTCTTTCTAACACTTAGAAATTTAGGATCAAAAACTTCACTTAAATGCAAAACCATTTTGCATATATTTATACTAAACATTTTAGCATAAAATAATCAACATTTAGTAATATTAAATAAAATCAAATTTTATTTAAATAGTATTTACTAACTTTTGACTTTGAAAATAATAAGATATGTTAAGTAGTTCAAACAACCATCAACAACCATTTTATTATAATCATATTTATTATTTTAATCCTTAAATCATATTTAAAGATATAAATAATAATTGGATAATAAATCTTGAGAATCTTTCTCAAGACTTTATTATTATATCATTTTCCCAATATTATAATAATCATATTATTATTATTTTGGATTTTTGAAATTTAAAATCCTATTTTAAAATTCAACTTTATTAATTTAGTAATTACCTTAATTACTAAAGTAATATCCAAAATGTAATTAATCAATCTTATTGATTAATATATTCCTTTAATTGATATCTAATCAAATTAGATATTTATCAATTAATTCTAACCATTAGAAATACAATCTTTACCTTTGTTCATAATTAGTGTGACCTTTTAGGTTCACCTTAATACTAGTAGTGGGTTTACAACACTTTGTAATTTGAGTTAAATCTTATTAACTCTTATTCATGAATTAACCCTTTAATTTATGAACCCACATATCATGGTAACACCTAGCAAGTAGCATGAATCTAGTATTAAGTGAATAGCGAGTAAACCTATTCCGATTACAACTCCATACATGTAAAATCCTTTCGACATCTAATTTCCCGATTAAGTCTTGGGTATGATTTTGTCGAAACCCAAATTGACTTAATAACTATGATTCTATTTCATGTTTATTAACCCGGTTATGAATCACTATTCATCTCTGCCTTGGCCAAGGACTTTGGATTAATAACTATGAAACACATAGGAAATTCACTTATCTTCATAAGTGTCGAATCCTTTATTGGCCACTAACAAACTTCCATACATATTAACATAATACCCAACTTATCCCTTTAAACGATAGTGCTAGCTACCAAAAGGATAAATCAAAGTAGAATGTAATATGCACAAAGTTACCATTGTGCCTCAAGTCTTAGGATTAGTCATGTACTATTGTAACATGAAAATTCTTATTCGACTGAATAAATTCTTCATTAAGAATTTTCATACGGTCATGTTCAGTGAACTTGTTCTCTAACAAGCACCCACATAAATGTACTTACGTCTTACGCTAATGTTGATGGAATGCAACATTCTTGTCCAACAAGCATACAAACTATGTGCAAGTCTTTTATGGATTATTCGATATCCCATCTCGAAACATCCATCGACTTGGAACTGTATTTAAGATCACGGCTTTCAAGGTATGTTCCATGATCACCATCTCTATGCGCGACCATACCTTATAACCATAAGTGATCTAGGGATTTTATCTTAAGTGCAATTATAAGATAAATGTTTTCTCTTAAGATAAAGAAATGCCTTATTCATAATATAATTCCAATAGACTGTATTTACAAGTAGAATACGTCCAATTAGATTGGAACGCCGGGTACCCTACTCTAACACTTACTCTATGTTTGGTATTACTTTTTGTAAATGTTGATCAAAATTGAAATAATCCATTTTCCTTCATAAAAGTAGGTACTAAATCGATTAAAAATAGGTACCACATAGAAGATGTGGTATTATTTTAGCTAAAACTGGTACTGTTTTAGGAATCGTGGTTTTTTTTAATCTTTCATGTCTATTTTTTCACGTAGAATAATAATAATAATAATAATAATAATAATAATAATAATAATAATAATAATAATAGCCAGTTCATGATAAAGCATTAAACTAACTAGACACAGGATACACATACCAACAGGTCACACATACAGTTTATTGTTTAGATATCCAGTTTAAGCCCAAACAAGTATACTTATGAAAATCACAGATAGGACTCACGCCTCCACAACAGGAAAAAGCTTGACATCTGGTGACAAAACCAGCTAGTACCTGCATGTTGCGAAACAAAAATAAGTATTATTATAATATCTGCATGTTATTAAAATAAAGGAAAAAATGTTAAAATAAAGACAAAATAGTTCATCAAAAGTATATTACAAAGCATGATGGGAACAACTTAAGTAGTATGAAGATGAAACCATTTGCAGTAAATGACATCAGGTGCTCAGAAATGAAATTTTAATAGAGAAAATGTCCAATTAGATGATTATCGAGCACAAGCTAGAAATTTTGTAGAAATTGTCAATATATTAAGAATGTAAGAAATGCTCAAGACACAGAGTACTATATAAAATACATGCTGACTTACCGAACTGGCCAGCCAGTTCATATTATTATACATAATTTCCCACCAACATCATAATCAGTAACTAAAGAATGTGAAAACACAAACTTTTACTTTCATCATACCAACAAACCAGCTCACAAATGCAATGAAAAAATAAAAGAAAAGGAGGATAAGGAAATAAAAGTAGAGCAAATTAATAAAGAAAAGAGACCTCTCACTTAAGACCTCTCGCATCGGCAGCGGCTGCCTCCACTTCGGCCCGACCTACGGCTGCTTCGTCGACTACTATGGAGGGCACGATGGTGTAATCGATTTCGCGAACAAGCTCTTTGCCAACGGCCTCGTCATGCCGCTCAAGCCTCCACTACGATGCCCCCGCCTCTCAGGAACATCGTCTGAGCCCAAGAAACCACGCGATACCCAATCAATTTTTCGGCACTGATGCAGGCTAACAACAAATGCCTGACCAAGTACACCCTGGCCATGGACCTGTTAATCAGAGCCAAAAGGAGTGTGCAAATCGTTAAAGTGAATTAGAGCCGAAAGTAGCGTACAACAAATGCCTGACCGAGTACACCGGCGGTTTTCTTAGATACCGTTCGGCGGCGAGCAATTTAAGTCGGAAAAATAACCCAAAATCCCAAACAAATTTGGGTCATTACTTACTGACGGAGCTGAGAGACGTTCAAGTACCATTAGCTGCATCTTAATTTTCCCCAATTTTGCAGAATCATTAAAATCAGAGCAACAGAATTGAAATTCATCAATCAATTCCAAAAAAACAAACTAGACTAATTAGCCATTGAACACTGCAAGATGAATGTGGAATTTGGGATTAACACGAAGCAGCTGAAATCCAAAAATTGATCGACGTGCGGAATTTTTTCAGCACAGTAATTACTAGAAGAAGCACATAAAGACATGGGTACATAGATAAATGCTGAAAAAAAAAAAAAAAATTGAACTAACCCGGAAGATTATGCTGCGGCGTAGGTGGCCGTGAAAGCTGAAATTCCGGCAAACGGAGGCGGCAAGCTGCTTCAGAGTCGTCACATCGTCGTCGTTTCGGTCTCCATTTGCTTATGAACGGTCGATGAGGAGCGATGGCAAGGTGGATACATACAACCGACTATGAAAATTTGTGAGATTCGGAGGTGAGATCCATGGCAAATTTAAGAAATTGAGAGAGGAAGACGGCGATGAAAAACAAAGACAGAGAAAGGGCCGAACAAATTTTTCCCATTTTTTATGATTTTCAAGTAAAATAAATCAATAATAATAATATTAGTATATATAAGGGGAGTGAATAGGAAAGAGGATATTGTATTAGGGAGTGCAGAGAAAGAATAAAAGAACTAGGGACTGACAAGGAAGTTGTAAAAGTGATTGGGGATTTATAAGGAATTACCCATTTTTAATATGATAAATAATTTAAAATAATAAGAATAAAATGTAAATAACTCTATTCTGTAGTAGAATAAATTACAAACTAAAAACGTCATAATTAGCGTTTTGCTAAAAACTAATCAAATAATTTTTATTTTTTATTTTATCAAACAAAGAAAGAGCGGATTTGGTTTTTAATTATGCCCCAATCCTCCTCAAGGAAAGAAATCTCGAACCATCATTCTTTTAGGAATAGGACTACTTCGCCTCTCACATGAATAAATACACCCCCAACACCACAATTCAG